GCGCGGCGACTCACCGCCAGCCGCCCGGTCCAGTAGCGCTCGATAGTAAACTTTGCAAACGTAGTTCCTGGTTGATAATTGGTTCATAATTGATAATTGACACATTTATTAGACGATTATTCGATTGTCAATTGCCGCAATTATAATCGAGACCTGAATAATCGACACCAATTATTAAAATAATTGATAATCGAGTCGATTAATCTAAAAATCGCAAAATACGGCAAAGTTCAGCAAAGGCTTACGCCGTGGCTGCGGCCGGCAAGGAGTCCCTAACCACCACCAGCCCCCCCCCCAATCCTCATGAACCACTCCTTCAAAACGTTTCAGATGCATGTATTCGTTTTTAGGCAATTCCCAAGGTTTTCTGACGGACATGTGCCCCCCCCCCCAATTCTCACTCTTTCCTCTTTAGAAAAGGGCCGCACGGGCGCTCGGGTGATTTTTGTAGAGTGGATTAGGTAGCATTAATAGTGTGTTGGTAACACTGAGAACAACGTGACATGCAAACACAATGCGGTACGGCAGGAAATTGACAAGAAAGAAGATTGTGCAACATTCAATAACAATTTAATCTTTGATAATAATTTGACAATAATAAACGCATTAATATATAACAACACATACATAAAAATTTAAGTACAAGTCATGAACACATTTAACAACCTTCTTATTTGACCTAGTCAACCAGTTTGTTTTCTTTCAGGTCAATTTTCGTTTACCAGTCAAAACATCTTCAACTAACATTTTCTACAGCTGATAGGTGGCCGTACTCATGCCCGAGTATTTCCAGTGCTGGGTAATACGGCGTTGAGTAGAGTGGCACAGTGGGGATGTATGTCGTCCCCGGAGCCGTCCCGCTGGTCGCCGACTGGAACACGACCCGCTCCTCCGGTGTATTGCAGCGGACTCCGTCGTCGTCAGGCGCCGCGTCGTACGACCCGACAGGCTGCTCGGGGGACGGCGCTCCCGTCGGCAGGGTCGGCGATACCGGCGAGGCGTACGGGTTGTACACGAGGTACTCGTGCGTGTCCTCCGGCCGCGACCAGGCCACGCTCTCGGCGTACGGCGGCGTCGCGTTGGACGCGTCGGAGCCGTCGGTATCCATCACCCCCTCCGGGACCGCCGGGGCGGGGGTGGAGGCGGCGAGCGGCCGGTGAGCAGGTCCTTTCCCGGCGGCGGTGGTCGTGTGGGACTCGTGGGCGGAGAGAGGGGCGCGGACTGTGGGCTCGCTCAGCAGCAGCGGCAGCGCTGGTGCAGCAGCAGGGACGGGGCCAGCAGTCTGCAATCAAAGGTTCAGAATCAGCATACTGACCAGCCACAACGAGGCGACTGAAAGCTGGAGCCACCCTTGCATGTCGTTTCGCGGATACACCAAGGTGGTTCGCGGGATTTCCACCCTCACCGGCCTGCCAGTGACAATAACTGTCGTAAAGACGAAGAAAACGCCAGGCCAGGGCCGCAGGTTTTTCTTTTTTGAAATCGCTTGGCAGCCCCCTCCCCCCTACATATCACTCCCGAGAGCAACCTACTCACCTTTCGCAGAGAGGGCACGGACCACTTGGGCCTCACGAACGATCTGCCGGCTATCGCCATCAGCTCCGGCCTGCAGCAGGCGGCGCACAGGAACAACCACTTCCGGGGGTCGGAGGTGCGTCCGCAGAACATCAGCCACATCCTTCGACGCTCCGGCTCCTTGGGGAACCTGGCAGACATCAAGACGGAGCAGTTAGCAAAATACATCACGCCAATAATAGCGCTAGTGGACACGAGCTCGGGACCGACAGGGTTGAAATAGTTCTCCGAATAAGAGTGCGAGCTGTGCATCCTGGGGGTGGAAAAACTAGTGCCAAATTGTGGCGCGCCGCACTGAACGTGCAAAAGTGCAGAAACTACACTTTTATTTTCTAATTTGTCACTAACAATTCTTTGAGTGGTGCGGTATTTCCAAACTGTTTCCGTGTTTAACACGGTTCTTTTACGCTTGTAAAGTGACTAACGCCACGCACTCTGAAGTGTCTTTAACCACCTTAACGCCACTCGTCACGAGCGGGCGAAAGGATTAACGAAAGGTTAACGATTACATGTAATACTCACTTGTAGAAGGTGCGTCCAGGCTGTGTCTGCCTGGTAGCGCCGCAGAGCAGGCAGCGTGACATCACCATGGCGACGAGTAGAGGGGCGCGGACGCGACACAGACGCAACAGAACTCCAACACCAACACACACGCACACCACAGAACTACGCTTCGCAACGCGCTCGAGTCTGCACTGCCCACTGCGGCGGACGGGCCAACACTGACCTGCTCGCTCTGACCCTTCCGCCCTCGGAGGCTCGGTCCGCGGCCGGGGGAATCCCACCCCCTTCCTGGACAAGGACCCGCGCGCGTGCACGTCCGCCCCCGGGCGCCCCGCCCTACCTGCCCCCCCAACTCACACAACAGGGTGACCCCACCCCACCGACCGCTGTCGAGTTATTTTCCACGAGTCGCGGCTCGCGACGGTGTGCCGCGTGC